GGGGGGGAGGCGGCCTGAGGCACCCACGGTCTGGCTGTGCGCCCCGCTGTCTCCCCAGAATCTCTGCTGCCCGCCCCGCCCTCCAGTGAACACTCACCCCTGCGTGGGTGCGGACGGGAGGGCGTCCGGGTGGCTGCCAGGGTCGGCGTGGGCCCGGCTCCCCACGGGCCGCGGGGTCTCCGTTGGGGGCTGATCTGCGTGGCCGGAGAGCGCGCGGTGAGCGGGACCTGGGGCGACGTCACCTCAGCCCTGGGCCGTGGCCGCCGCCCCGCCAGTCCTCCTGGCCACGGTGGTCTCCCTGCCTCACTCTGGGCCGCGGGGCTGCTCCGGCCAGCAGAACTCAGTGACCCTGGGGAGCTCGGCCCTCCGCTGCCACCCCAGGGCTGTGCCCGGCTGCAGGCGAAGCTGTGGCAGCCTGATGCCGCGGCCCTCTGGGTAGCGTGGAGCCGGGAGAGGCGGGCGAGGGTGGGCGTCGCAGCTGGGCTCACCCTGGACGCTCTCAGCAGGCCCCCAGCCGGGCAGGGGGTGGGCAGCCCTGTCCTCTGGCACACCCTGGTCCCCAGTGTCCAGGCAGCTGGCCAGGTCCGGGAGGGCCAGGGAGCTGTCGTAGCTGAAGTCCATGCAGCGGTAGAAGCCGGGGATCAGGAAGGTGATGTTCTGCAAACCGGCGCGCGTCAGCCTCCACGCCCCGCCCCCGCCCCCAGCTCTAGCTCCCCAACCCGCACCCGTTGCCCAGCCCCGCCCCGCCCCGGCCGTGCCCCTGCGCCCGCCATGCCTCCCGGTGTCTCCTGGGGCTGCCCACACAAGCTCCATCCATGGCAGGCTGGACGACCCAGCGAGGATGCAGGGGTCTGAGGCCTCCGTGGGAAGGCCCTAGCCCCTCAGGTGTCCACAGCCTCTGTCCCGACCCAGGCCCTGGCCCCCGGCCCCTGGGCCCGCTGGAGCCTCGGCTGGGGTGTCCACCACACTCCCCAGCCCCCCGCGTCAGCCCCACCCGTGGCCGGGGGCTTCTGCGAGAACCCAGGGCCGATCCCAGGGTCCCCGGGGCTGCAGTCCAGACGGTGTGGCCCCCGTGTGCCCTGGGGAGGCACAGGACCACCGCAGAGGGGACCCCAGACACACGGGGATCCCAACAGGAAGCGAATGAGCCCAGCTGGGCCCCCACCCCCACCCCAAACGTGTGCGGGAAGCAGAGCTGCCGGGCGCGCAGGGGCGGGGCGGGTAGGGGAGCTGGGACCAGGCAGGAGGCCGACGGCCACAGTCCGTGGGACGGCCACGCGGCTGCGGCCAGGGCCCCGGGCGACCCACCTTGCCCAGGAGCTCGGTCTGCCCGTAGCCAAACAGCATCAGCGCGAAGCTGTGGTTGATGCCGTAGATGGTGCCGTCGGGGAGGAGGGTGATGAGGCCGCTGATGGTGGAGAACACCCAGACGGAGGCCGAGTAGCCGCCCGGGGGCGCGCCCCTCCCGGCCGCGCCCCCGCTGGACGCGGGCTTCAGCTTCAGGCTCAGGGGGAAGGTGGTGCCGTCCGTGGCTCTCCCCACAGACCTCTGGATCCTGAGGCTCTGGAGGGGAAGGGGCTGTCACGGGGCCTGGGGCCTGAGCCCCGGCGCCCCCCAGCCGGGGAGTCTCCCCACCCCCAGACAGGTGAGGGCCAGGTGGGCGCAGGCCGGCCGCTACCTGGGGGAGGGCCCCGCCGGGCGGGGGGAGCTGCAGCGAGGGGATCAGCTCCGTGGCGCGCTGCCCGGCCACGTCGTCCGCACACGCGAAGCCCAGCAGGCGGGCGAAGAGGCTGTCGCAGGACGCGATGGTCCCCTGCGGGAGGCAGGCGTGGGGCCC